GCAGACTGCCGACGAGCAAGCCGCCGAGGACAAACGCGATCCAGCACGCCGTGACGATGTACGACGCGTTGGCGAAAATGCGCTCGGCCAAGAGAAAGCACGCGACGGCGCCGACGATGAAGCCCGCGACAAAGATGGCCGGGCGCACGAGCTTGTAGCCAAAGAACGTGAGCACCGTGCCGATGGCGATCGTGATGCCGGCGACGGCCTCGGGACCAAAGCCGAGACTGGAAAAGTCGTCGCCGTTCCAGTGCAAGATGCGGTTGACTTGGTTGTCAAAGGTGCTGTTGCCGTTGACCGTGAGCGCGGCCGTGGTGTGGAGCATGAAGAGGAGGACGAGGAGTGGAGAGAAGGAGCGCATCGGGATCAAGTGCTGATGCGGACGAGGTAAATTGGACAATGAGGAATCCAAGAGATTGGAGGCGAAACCACCTCTACACGGGCTTGTCAATGACAGGGGTAGGGCAGGCCATGAAAGTTTCAAACGTGGGACATGGCACGGATATTTGGACTTGATCGATGTATGTACGATGGACGCCAGTTGTTTTTTGGCGCGGCTTGGCGAGGCCATGCTGTCTGACGCCTCGTGGCCACGCCCGTGGTTGATTGGCCCTTCGTTTGCAAAGCCAAAATTTGCCGTGTTCATATTTGTGCCGAAAGATACGAGCGTGTCAGACACCGACTGCTTAGGACTGCAAGCGTGGGGTTGACGCGACGGTCGTCTAGAACATCCAAGCAACAAATATAGCAGTGACCTCGCAATGCTGTTTCGAGGAGCATACAAGAAAGCACGGTACTCCTAGTACTGTACTACGTCGCAGCTTTTTTCGGCATTGTCTCCTGGTCTCACTCTCGTTGACTGACAAGGTCTAGCCATGTAGTGGTGGATACATACACTTGGATACCCTTTGTGGACGGCGACTGCGACGTGGCGTCCTGGCCTTTGACTTCTGCGATGCGCAACGTCGGCGGCCACGAATGAAGCTTTTGGAGGCATCATCGCTCGCGGATGGCCTGGACCCCACACTCGCGCATTTGCTTTCGTGCAAGCCACCCTGTTGTACTCGGTTGATAACACAACTTGGCCGTCCATGGCGCAGGTCACGCCTCCGCCAGCACGTTATCACTTGGCAGTCGACGCTTGAATGGCCATGGCTTTGTCATGGTGGCTAGGCTTTGACAGCCCTTGTGCATTGAAGGCTCTACGTGACGACGTGATGACATGATGACGTTGTCACGGAGACCAAGCCTGATGTACAGAAGTCGTGTAAAATCATCTTCATCGCACACCGAATACATCATACATTAGCTTGGGAAAAGTCGAGCTTCGACGTGAGTCCGCATCAGCGAATACGCTAGCGACAGCTTGCGAAACGCGAGCCTCAATAGTACCATAGATCTAGGTGCCGTGGTGCCAATGACGGCCGCATGAAGCGGCGCGAGATGTCCGCCATCGTATTGGTTTCCAGCCACCGCGCTGGGTGCTCGTGTGCACGTGTGAAGAATTGATACTTTAATGCAAGAATTGATACTAGCCCGGTCGGGCGTCATAAAATTAACGGGAACACTATACAATAGCGTCCCTCTTAGACGTGGCGGACAGGGTTGCCATACGCGGGCGACGCCGACGTAATGTAATACCCGTTGTCGGCTGGCACCGCGTTCGACTGCGCTGCGCGCTTGGTCTTATTGAGCTCCTGGAACTGGACCGCGATGCCGAGACAACAGAGCCCAACCGTGCCCGCGAGGTAATACCACCACGAGCTCGGGATGTGGTAGATCCAGTCGCCGTTGGCAAAGGTCTTTTGGAGGTACGCAGTGTTGGGGTACCCGCCGGCGAAGAAGCCGATGCCCCAGACGGCGCCAATCGCACCAAAGCAGCTCGACGCAAACACCAAGAACGGGCGCTCGAGCTTGAGCGCGACGAGGCCAAGACCGAGGCCGAGCACAATGAGGAGCACGATGAGCACCGTGTTGGGGCTCGACGGGTAAATCAAGTACCCAAACGAGTTGTGGATTTGGGTGGCGAGCAAGACACCGGCGAGCGCGCCAACGCAGAAGATGCCGAGCTTGTAGAGCCAGAGCACGAAGCTACCAACGAGAAAGCCGCCGACAAAGAACGCGATCCAGCACGCCGTGTCAATGTACGACGCATTCGCAAAGAGGCGCTCGGCGAGGAGGAAGAAGCCCACCGACCCGAGCGTGAAGCCGGCGAGGAAGATGGTGGGCCGCACGAGCTTGTAGCCAAAGAAGGTTGCAAGGAGGCCAGCACCGATCGCGACGCCGGCGACGATCTCGGGACCGAGCCCGAGGCTGCCAAAGTCGTCGCCGGTCCAGTGCAGAATCTTGTTGACTTGGTTGTCGAACGTGCTGTTGCCGCCGACGCTGAGGCTCGACGCGACGTGGAGGAGGAACGGCAGCAGCAGCAGCGAACGCGGTACAAGTCGAGCTGTGGAGGACATGGTGACTTGTGGAATGCAGTGCAATGTGAAAGCGCTCGTCGCGTGTCCAACGGCCAAGTGGCCGCTGGCATCAATCTTTTCGCCCATTACTGCGGACATGGGTGCGAATTGAGTTTGAGTTTGAGTGGCATGAGCCAATCCGCGCGCGCGAGATGCACGCGGTTGAGAAAAGGAATGATGGTCGATCGATGCGACCTGTCCAACACGTCTGTCCAGCCTTCGATGTGCACGATGGCTACGTTCAAGAATACTTCTCGCGAGCAGTCTAGTACAACTATGTGGGAGCTTATTAAACCAGGCTCTGGTGCATGAAGCCGTCCCTCTTATATGTGTGTACCCACGTCAACACCGTAAATTCAGCCGAGAGCAACTGAGATCGGAGTGTTTAAAACGCTTGGCATGTGATCTCGAGACGTTTTAAACACTTAGTTCTGCCATCACTTGCATCGGCGCCGGCCAGTGTAGCCGCAAGGATTTGTACAAAAAATCGCTCTTATGGAACCTTGGTAATGAAGAATGCATCCTCTCGACCTGTCTTTCGGCGTCTTCCATTGAAAACGCAGAATGTTGGAGCGCATGGGGGGTGTTTTGCGACGCTGACGACCTTACTGGTAGTAGGAGCCGGCCCGAGAGACTTTCGTAGGCCATGTGACGCGGCCAAAAATACGAAAGGTAGAGCGCCAACATCGCAATTCATCAGCATCGAGTGACGTCATGCGTCAAGTCGATCCTCCTTAGCTTTTCTTTTCGCTCCACGCACGTTGAAAACATGCATTATCAAGAAGCAACTCGTTCGACGTCGCTTTTGGTGCAGAAATACCTGTAGTGTCCACAGCCGTGAGTCAGAAGCAACGTTAAGGGCAACATCGTCCTGTTGTTCCCATTTAGTTTCACTTATTAGTTTGCATTTTGCATCTTTCAGGACACCGCGCGGAAAACAGACCGTACGCCCCGTCGCGAGCTCGTGTCACGACCCGCAACCGGTGGCGCGCAGCATCGCACATGGCGTCAACATGTGAATGTCATCAACTGGCAAATTCTCCCGCCACCTCAACTGCGTTATCAACTTGATGTTTATTTTTCACCGCCGCCTGGAGCATCACAAGACCAAGACCTGGTCAGAAATCTAGAAGAAACCTCGGCGCGTGTCTGAGGCCACGTCACCTTTTACGCTGCGTCCTCGACACGGTCTTTCCACGCGCCAAGTGTTTGATCGTCTGCTGCGGGCGCCAGCGGGCACGACGCCCAACTGCGACGCTGCCACCTGCGACGGCTTCGCGGAAGTCTCCGTCGGGTCTGCGACGAACGACACGAGATGGCGCGTGCGACGCCCCGTGCCACCCGTGTGACAGATTCCACCAATCCGGCCACGGCAAAACATTGTAACGATATTGATTGGCCAAAAAGAATTCGACCCGCCAATGAAACCGTCCGCGACGTGCCACGACGGTGTTCCGGACGTCCTGCGACGCAGAACGCCAACGCGCCATTTTCGGCTCACAATTCAACTTGACCCAATATGCAACACCACCTCCTTCTCTGCATGCCCAAGGCTCTGCCCGTGCAGCGCCCAAGCGTCATCGCGTGGAACCAGCTCCACCCCGACAGCCTCCTCTACTCGTACTTCGCCCACCTGTACTACGGCGGCGACGACCTCCTCCTCGGTCGCGACGACGCCATCGCCTTTGTGCACGAGTTTGTCGTCGAAGTCACTCGCCAAGGCGGCGTCATGGACGACGTCAACCTCTCAGAAGGCCTCAACGCGCTCACGCGCTCGGATGGCCGCATCAGCATGGCGCGCTTGGTCGAAGAGCTCTGCCTCCTGCTCGTATAGCCGCCCACTCGATCACAGTAGATTTTACCTTTCTAGTTAGGACTCTATATTTATGAACGAAGTAAATATTACCATTCTTTCCCCATATAGATTGACGTTATCACTCGATGAACTATGACAATGCCCTCGACGCTGCCCACCACTCCCTACGACTTGATGCTGCAAAGTGCAAGCACCAACTTTGGCGCATGCAGGCGTAGCACTACATACGTCACTTCTAATTACGCTACGTATGCAAAGCCTTTGCGTTCGTTTTCCCAACTTGATTTCCGGACTGGCTCGCCAACAATACCGAGGCGCGCTTATAAAGAGGCCAGACCGCGGCGCACAACAGTGCGGTGGCAGCTCGCGGCGGCCACAAACAGAAGGGGCTTGGCGTCAGAGCGATCGCCAGCCAGGAATGGCCGCGGGCAGTGTCTCAAGAGTAACGCGCGGATATCAATGAGACGCAGAGTGAAGGGCCGCGACCACGGATCTTCAAGACAGCGCTCTGCAACTAGCCTGCACGGGACGAGCTGGCCACAAACCAAGACGCGAGCGTACCACGCTTGTCGTGCTTATAGCCTTTGCAGAGAACAACATCGGCGTCCACAAGCCCAAGCAACACTGTGTGTCTACACGATTATCGTTGTGGCCACGGTGGGCATCATCCATATACCGTTTCGCGCATGTGATTGGTTCATGGCCGTCCGCCGATATTTTTCAGCCAATCACGTATGACACAGGAGGGACCGTGAAAGATCTAAGCGACAACGGCTCACTTCCCATCAAGCACCCCACATCTCGAACCGCCATGTCCAGGACGGCGGCGCCTCCTAGCGCGCTCTTGCCGCGCAACACTGCCTCATGGAACCACTTGGATCGGTCCAGCGCCCTCTACGGTTATTTTGTGCACCTCTTCTACGGCGGCGAGGACCTCACGCTCGAGGTGGCCGACGCTCGTCAGTTTGTGCGCGAGTTCGTCGAGTTTTGCCAGCGCGAAGGCGTGCCGCTCGAGCCCTTCGACGTCGACGCCGGTCTTTGCGCCTTGCACGCGAGCGGGCACATTCATTTGTATGCGCTCGTCGAAGAGCTCGTTGTGCTCGTGCAGTCCGAGTAGAACGGGTTCGGGATTTGAAGCCACATGAGGCGACATCAACTATTTAGCTTCGAAATTGCATTTAAATCAGAAAATAAAGAAGAAAAACACGAACCATCGCGAAACATAGTTGGTGTTCATTGCATAGGGCATTGGTTGACGCCTGCCATCGGACCCACAACGTCTGTTCGACGCGCCAGCGCACACCACGTTGGTATATACTCCACCACATGGCCCAGAAGTGAATTCTGCTGCCTCGTCGCCGACTTCGCCGGCCATACAAGATGTCTGGTTATGTAGCCACGACCGTGAACATGATCGTCCTGTTGTTCTTATGGCGTCGTACGATACCAGTGTCCAGCGATAAAGAGGGCGACAAAGTCGGCCATATCCAGTGATCACGAGAGCGGTATCTAGAAACCAACAAACCGCGGGTCGACGTTGTGATGACGCGATGCTGTCGCGCTGTCCAAATACCACAAATCCATGGTCCTTTCTCCATTCTTTCTCATGTACCCGCTCGCAGTGTCGCATGCCACCTGCCAGCGCCGTGATGCCTCACAATTCAAGTTTCCCGCAAGTCCTAAAGCATGATGGGCCAGACCATGAGCGTTGCACCACCAGCCATGCACGATGAAAATGGGCTGCTTCCAGTGCTCGACTGGCACAGCCTCGACAGCCACAGCCCGCTCTACCCGTACTTTGCCCACGTCTACTTTGGCGGAGCCGACCTCTTTTTGAGCAAGGCCGATGTCACGGCGTTTGTCGGCGCCTTCTCGGACCAAGTGGCCTACGAAGGCAACGAGATGGATGCGTTCGATGTTGACGCAGGGTTCGAAGCGCTTGCGAGCGAGAGCGGCCGGCCAGGCTACGTGCGCCTTTTGACTCTCATTGAAGAACTCGGCCTCCTCGTCAGCGACTGAGGTTCTTTAGCTTCTTTGTGTCCCAACTATCTATCCAATATTGTACACTATTCGTTTGCTTGAGCTCTGAACAGTGATGAGGTGGTTGCCGGCTCGTCATGGGATTCGAGATCGTTGTGGCTCGACAAAAGCAGGCGATGGAGGGAGGATCTGCGGGTAATGTGTTGCTTTCGGTGACGCCCATGGTTGACTTGACGTTGTTGTTGTCGCATGACTAACCAATGTGCGATAGCGTTCGAGAGCAAGCGCGTTTTTACACCTGCGCAAAAGACGAGCCACTTCAAGTGGACCATAATGGCTCCGACCTGTAGGACCACGTACATGGTATATTGATTGACAATAACATTTTGCCGTATCGTCCTGCTGGACACGGCCAAGCACATTCGAACAATTCATGCTCTAGCGGAATACTAGTACATGTATTTTGTTGATGACCCGTAGGACGCAGGCTCCTGCATCGATATCTGAAATGGCTGTCATACTGGCTGGTCCACGGTAGAATTCCCATCGAGACGCGCCGCCACTGCTTTCCATGATGCTGCAGCGACTTTTGAATTGCGCTGCGCCGTGACATAGCGCGATCGCTGGGATTTTTTGGGGACCCGACTCGTTTCGCGTAGATTCACGGTGGTTGTTCGCTCGACAAACCTGCAACATACAACGCATCACGGACGACGCACGAGCTCGATGGCGGTGCGCTTCTACTACTCGATTTACTAGTCGTAGCATTGTATGAGATACGATTCGCGCACAGTTACCACGTGAACAAATCCCGTGCGAAAAGACAATAAAAGGTGACAATTGATGAGGCACGACCACTCGAGCTGCGATTGCGAGATGTGCTCCATCGCATTCCCAGCACGGGTTGTGCGATCAGATGTCTATCGAGCAGTTGGGATGCTATCGAAGAAGGCCCCCGAGTTCGCTACAACCAGCCTTTGCGCGCGTCGCACACCCATCCTGCAGGTGCACGTTAGCACACTCTACGTCATGGACCTTCGCCACGAGCTCGGACTGCGACAACGTGGCGATTGCGTCGCCATGCGGATATCGTATTCGGTAGATCGATCGGCGCGCATTCGATTGGCCGCCGCGGTAGCCAATCACGATCGAGCCGCCAGGTTGCCGTTGCCGTTGGATACGTCATTTTGCCATTTTCCATTTTGCCATTTTGTCAATGACCACCACCGCCGGTTCGAGTCCGATGCACGTCAAGGTCCATTGGAACGCGGTCGACCAAAGCAGTCTCCTCTACGCGTACTTGGCCGACATCTATTACGACGACGGGACGGGCGAAATGGAGCTCGACGACGTCAAGCACTTTGTGCATGAGCTCGTGGACCACGCCCACCAAGAAGGAGACGCAATCGCGCCATTCAAGGTCGACGACGTCATTGCAAGCCTCGAAGACCCGAGAAGCCACCGCGTGCGCTTGCAGTCGCTCGTCCACGTCTTGCAGACTTCGTAATCGCCTTCATTTAGGTTCTATTTATGCTCGTATTAATTGTTGTCGTAGCAGTGCACTAGGCTTGGAAATGTTAGCCAGGTCGACACAGGGTAAAAAATAGCCACCACGAGGCGACAAGAGCAGTATGCAAGGGCCGAGGCGGCAGGGACGTCGCCGAAATGTGAAAACCTGGAGCCGATGCCTGTGGGAGTACTGAAAGACCACCCAGATCTGGTAAGATCTGGGTGGTCTTTCGGTACTCCAAAACCAGATTACGATGCAATGCGGCAAAAGGCGAGTTCGCATACCCGTCTCCTTCTCACCCTTTGCAAGCCGATGCGGATACAAGCGATCGGCGGACGACCTGTCGAGTTCGAGCACTGAAGAGACTGCAGGCATCTCCGAAGAGACTGCAGGCATCGCGATGCTTCGTACGACGTCATCGCAAGGCCACTTAAAGTAGCAACCGATGGTTGCAGTACAGGAAGCCCCGGCAAGGTGACACCAAATACGAAGCTCAAGCAACCTGTCTTGGGCTGCATGAAGAAGGCTGGTAAACGTAGTATGTATTGAGCGGCGGCTTAGACTTGGATCTTCTCCAAGGCTTCTTTCAGGTACGGCTGCAGCGTCTCGAGCTTCTTCTTGAGGAGGCCCATGGGCGCCTTCCCGTCCGAGTAGGCGCAGAGGAGGTACCCGGCGCTGGCCGAGGTCACCGCCAAGCACTTGTCCTTCTGGAACTCGAGGAAGAGCACGCGAAGATCCTCGGTCGGGAAGATTTCCTTGGCCGAGTGGTCGTACTCGGCCCATACGTTGGCCGCAATCGCGCCGACGACCTTGACGTCGACAGCCGGCTCGACGCCCGACGCATGCGACGGCGTCGACGAGGGGCTCATGGCGCCGACAGAACCGAGGAGCGCGCCGTCGACCGTCATGAGGAGGATGGCGGCGACGCCATCGCCGAGGCCTTGGCGGAGCACCTCGGGCAGGACCTTGGCTCGGATCATGCTTGTGGTTTGTTGAGATTGACGACTTTCGATCCGGATAACCGGAAGCGCGCTGCAGTCTATTCGCACGCCACTTTATGGCGGTCACCTGACCTGCCGCTACGACGCTTGGTCCACAATAGCAACTGCAGCCATCCTGCAAGCTATTAAACACGTGCAAAGCCACGCGTGTACTGCGCGGTGGAGGCTCTTGCGGCTAAGGCCCGACAGATACACAAGGTCAACTTCGTAAAATGGCGTGTTTTTAGCGACTTTGGGCCATCGTGAAAAAATGTATGGAATTCTATTTCGTATCGTTTTAAAATAATACCGTGTGTTTTGTACCACAATAGATTCAAGACAAAGAAATCCGTGACGTCGGTCGAATAAAAACATTTGCACCTCGATCTTGCGGACAGCAATGCTCCGACTGGCCGTCCTCGCCGTCCTCGCGCTCGCAACGAGCGCTGCCCCTTCCAACCTGCATGGACTGACGCAAGAGCTGCGTACCAAGGTTGCGGCTGCCTCCACGGTACGTCCGCCGACGTTTGCATGCGAATCCAAGGTCGCGTCCTCACGTCTGCCACGTGTATGCTGCAGCTGACTTGCGACGACGGGCTCAAGTCGTTGCCGATCTCAAGCGTCAACGACGACTTTTGCGACTGCGCCGACGGCAGCGACGAGCCTGGCACCTCTGCGTGCTCGCACACGGGCGTTCTCTTCCACTGCTTGAACCACGGCTACTTTGCGTCCGACATCCCGACCTCGCGCGTCAACGATGGCATTTGCGGTGCGCCTGTCCTGCGATAGAACCCTCTTGCACACCGTGGCCATAGATTGCTGCGATGGCAGCGACGAGTACGCTGCGCCCGCGTCATGCAGCAACACGTGTGCGACCCTCAAAACCGCGTACGACCAAAAGATGGCGACCAAGCATGCCGCCGAGGCTGGCGGTCGCGCCGCGCGCCAGCTCTTGGTGGCCAAGGCCAAGCAGGCGAAAGAGGAGCACTACCGCAAGCGCACCGACTTGGAGGCGACCAAGCGAGAGCTCGAGGCTGAGGTCGCGGCCGCCACCAAAGTCAAGGCCGCCGAAGAAGCGCTTGAAGTCCAGGAGCGCCGTCACGCGTCCGAGCGCTCGCGTCGGAATGTCGCCGCGACATTAGGTCTCTACGACCTGACAACCGAGCAACTCTCGTCTGTCATCATCGACCTCTCGCTCAAGCTGTACGCCAAGGACGAGGTATTGACGGCGCTCCGGGCCGCGGGTGCACCGTCGTCGTCTCGGATCGAGACGCTCGAAGCACAGTACATCAAGGACGACGAGGCCCATCGTGCCGAGGTCGAGCGTATCGACTCGGCCAACGACGAGCGCCGCAAGCTCCGCGACGCGTCGACGGCCGACGAGGTGCCGCCCGAGCTTGAAGCACTCCCGCTCCCGACGCCGCCGACCGGCCCATCACGACGCTGTTCGAGTCCGTGTCGAGTGATGAAGCGACCGAGCGACCTGGTACATGACACCACGCACCTTGTACAAGATGGACTCATGCGCAAGGAGGTCATAGAAGCCAAGGAGGCACGGGATGCCTTGACCGAGGCCCAGAGGAAGCTCACTAACGCCGCATATGACCTCTCGAGCGCGCAGACGATGCTGGACAAGAGCTACGGCGCCGACGACGTCTTTCTCGCGGTCAAGGACACGTGCATTTCGACGACGTCGGGGCAGTATACGTACAAGATGTGCTTCTTCGCCGGCGCAACCCAAGACAGCACGTCGCTAGGGTACTCTCTCTCTCGACAAGACCGTTGCTGCACTAGCTCTCTTGTGTAGCACCATGGAGACGATCGACGCTGCATCGCACGAACTCAAGTTTACGGGAGGCGCCTCGTGCTGGAACGGTCCCTCGCGGTCGTTCACCGTCGCGATGGAGTGCGACGAGACCGAAGAGCTCTACAACATTGAAGAGCCGTCGACGTGTGTTTACACGGCCAAGCTCAAGACGCCTTTGGCGTGCGCCGACGTCCCACGTCCCGCTGGCCACGACGAGCTCTAAGACGTGCACACTTGACACCATCGTGTCTTATGTCGCGTGTTAAAACTTGAACTCGTACGACGCCTTCCAGTTCGGGTTGCCTTGGCCTTGGGGCTGCATGCCTTGTTGTTGCATGCCTTGTTGCGGATACGCCATACCACTGGGTGAGAGCGGCTGGCCATACCCCATGGGAGGTGGCTGGCCATAGCCTGTTTGAGGTGGCTGGCCATAACCTGCTTGAGGTGGTTGGCCATAGCCCATCTGCGGCGCTTGACCGTAGCCCGCTGGCGGCGGCTGGTGGTAGCCTGCGGGCGGCGGCTGGTTGTAGCTGTAGTTTGCAGTGGGCGATTGCAAGTTGTGCATGCCCATGGGCGACATGGGGTTGCCGTTCCCATGTGCCGCCCACGGCATCGCCGGCGGCTTGTCGACCTCTTCAAACGCGCTAAAAGCATCACGGGCCTGCGTATGCTTCTCCGGCAGCGCTGCGTTGGTTGGACTCACGATAAAGCCAAAGGTATCGACGACCTT